CACGGGTTTTTTTCAAATAAATGCCAACTTTTTGAAGGTTTGGCCTTGCGCTTTATTTATAGTAATATCGAAAGCTAATCGCAATAGGAATTGAATTCCTAAACTTAAACGGCATATTAGGATCTTTAGATGTTAGTTTTATTTTTGGCATGAAAATATGTTCCCTTTGCCTACTCCAGTAATTACTTCTAACTTTACACTTTTTTCAGACATACCTAACACAACTAATCTTATTCCATTAACTAATCCAGACCCTGGAAAAAGTCTATATTTCAGCTTTATAATAGTATACATATTACAGTACATATTACCATATGATTTAAATTAAATAAACCACATGTTTTTAAGTAACCAGAGCCAGTGGCGGTTCTAGGACCATGTCAAGGGGGGGGCTACCGGGGGGCTTGGGGGGTGTGGAGCACCCCCCAACAAAGAAGGGGGGTCCAGGGGGTCCTCCCCCGGGAAAATTTCAAATTTTCAAAGCAGTTTGGTGACTTTCTAAGGCCATTTTTAACACCCAAAACCGTGCCCAATTGTCCATAAACTCCCATTTCACCTGTTGTTTGTCATGAGCAAATAGACATTTTAAAAATTAAACTATGACGATTGCTTTCATGAATTTCAAAACACACTGTAGACTACGGCCATATCCTCCTAAAAGCCGTTTACTGACTTTCTAAAGCCATTATTAATGTCTATATCTGTGGCCAACTATTCAAAAATTTCTCATTTCACCTGTCATTTGTTTTGTCATGAGCAAGTAGACATTAAAATAATCAAGCTATGACGAACTTGCATTCATGAATTCCAAAACATAGGCCTACTGTAGACTACGAAGCCAAATCTCCTAAAAGCCGTTTGGTGACTCAAAACATAACGGCTAGAACTGTGTCTAATTGTCCTATAACCTTCCATTTCTCCTGTTTTATGTCACGCAAGCAAGTAGACACGTTTATTAACCTTACGTTTTTCTCCATTTCATAGATCTGTCACAATATTTATAGTATTGAATTCAGTAATAGCATTGAATATATAAACTTTAACACTTAGTGTTTATATAGTCAATGGTAATAGGCTAGTGGTGCTACCGCTGATTGCTGATTGATGCCTGTGTAAAGTTAGTGGCTAGCAGACCATTTGACAACTAACTCAGGAAATCAGCTGTTTCCCCGTCCTCGCTCGCGCGCTCGGCGCTCGCCTTTGCCCTAGCTTGTCAGCTGACTGCTGTAAAAATTGGATGATGCGTACAACTTTCCATAGCGTAATATTGTTTTATTCGTTGTGCTATTATTGTCCACAAAGTTTATCTATGTGAAACTTAATACTACTCCTGCCATCGCTCATTAAGTTTAATAAACCTACGTTGATGTCTGTTTTATGACAGTATTTAAAGGACGAAATGTACGTTAAAATTTATTTTTCCAGGGTCCAAGGGGGGGGCTTTAGCCCCTGTAGCCCCCCCCTTGGAACCGCCACTGACCAGAGCAGACATGGCCTGGATTCCCATGTTATTTAAATGTAAATTATTTTATTACGTAACGACCTTTTGGTGCATAATTAAGAAAAATGAATAATTTTCCCCAAAACTTCATGCCCAGACCTTTAAAATGAGACCTCTCCCAGCTTTCTACGGCCTCCCGTTCGCTCACAATTTCATTGTAAAATTTTGGGCTTACGGAATTAGATATATAGATACTAGCTGACCCGGCGAACTTCGTATCGCCTAAGTTATAGGTTTCCCCTAAGACAGACCGACCCGGCAGACGTTGTCTTGCCTTTGACTATTTATAATTTAAGTACCGTTACGTTTAATTTTCAAGATGATCTCGTTCGCATCGCTCAATCACGTCCTGGTTGAAGTTCGTTCGCTACGCTCACTCACCTTTGGGTTGGAGCTCGTTCGCTACGCTCACTCACCTTTAGGTTGGAGCTCGTTCGCTGCGCTCACTTGCCTTCAGGTTAGCTCATTCGCTACGCTAACTCGCCTCCAGGTTGAAGTTCGTTCGCTACGCTCACTCACCTTTTGGTTGCAAATTAGCTGTTGTCATAAATGTAAAAGAAATAATAGTGCTGCACCCTGTTGGTAATCCTTGTAACTTTAATGCTATTGAACATCATAGAACAGAACCAACTTGTTTAATTGAAACAGCTGTTAAGATTCATTAATTCCATTTCTCATAAGGTTAACATGGGAAACTCCAGAGCCACTGGGGCGGAGCCCTTTTAAGAATTTCGAAACGGGAAATAGTTTACGTCCGATTCGCATACCTACAGAATTTACACACCAAATTTCATAACGATCGGTGAAGTCGTTCCGGAGGAGTTTGCAGACCAACACTGTGACACGAGAATTTTATATATTAGATTTATATATATATATTTATATATGTGTCCGTTAGCGCGATAACTCGAGCAAAATTGATCCGATTTTGATGAAATTTGGTACAAACGTGTAAACCTACATTTATTTGAACGAGTTCGCGAACCAGCATAATCGGACCATGGGATCAGGGGTTTATGGGGGGTTTTATGGGGTAAAAATGGGGTTTTCTCATTTTTGACCCTAAAAACTTTAAATTTCTAAATTTCTCTCTAGACCATTTTGAAGAGCTTAAAAAACAAATAATTTAGTATATTGAAGTGTTTTTGAATGTTCATTGACAACAAAGAAAATTAAAAAAATTGTAAATTTAAAATTCCCATGTTATTCTTATGGAGATTAAATAAACTGTTCTAGTTTGCTTTTTTATGGATATATTTTATTCAAATTTGGCAATTTGGTTTATTTCATACTAAGCTATCAATATTTCAATTGAAAAAACACACCTCAACATCTTCCCCGTAGCAGCAAACCTAGCTAATCACTAAAATTAATGTTATTTAAATAGGAAATAAATCTGAAAATTTATAGGGAATATTTTAGTAGAAATCAAGCCGGGTAAATGGAAATTCGCTTAGTATGCAGGTTTGCTGCGACAGGGGTATTTGAATAATGGAGTTAATTTAGAAATTTTTTATTTTAAGAAAAATGCCTGATATAAAAGAATAATTTACTAAATGAGCTATAGGTTTTCTGAGGGGTAACTTTGCATCTTTGATGAGCACCACTAGGACATCATCATACCCGGTGCTAAATGAGTTTTTAAGATGACTTATTAATTTCGTCAATCTCAATCTCATCAACAGGTGTACAATGAAAACCCGGAATTATATGATGCGACTCATCTACTTTAACACCGTCCTTAAAATTCAAAACAAGTGAATCCAAGTTAGGAACAATGTTTGTGTCAACCAAATCAGTAAAATAGTTGTTGAATGAATTACATATACAGTAATATAAGGGTCTGAACAACATTGATTGTTAATACAAACACTAGTAATATGGTTATCTGCTTTTGCCTTACTAACTTCAGTGTTACTAATGTGCCAACTGGTTTTGTTTATGTTATTTGAGTTGTTTATTTTGTTATAGTTTTTTTGGAGCTGTAACTTTATTTCTAAACATTTTATTCTTCTGTCTTAGTTGTTTGTACATAGTGTTGCTTTTTAGGATTCTAGCATTATTAGCAAACTCAATAATTGATTGTTTTTCAATCTTTAGCTCTTCAGTAAACCACCTTCTATGTCTATATTTTTTACATAATTTCTTAGGAAAACACTACTCAAAATAATATATAAAAATGTTGTGAAACACATCATACTTTGACTCCGCAGGAGCAAAAAATACATCAAGCCAAGTTTCAAGGCTAAGTGCTTGAATAAAGTGATCAATATTTTTAGTGCTAAAGTTCCTAGAGTATTCAAGAAACACAGCATTAACAGGACTATCATTTTTACCATTTATTACAAAGAGTTGACCATCATGGTCTGACAGCTGAGTATTGAACCCAATTACATTGAAATAGGCTTAATTTATATTGGTAAAAATATTGTCTATGGTTAATGACTGTATGTGGTTAATCCTCTACACCATTATCCCACCAAGCTTGTGGATCTACATCTGTAAATGAAGAACACTCAAACGACAATTTAAATTTGTTAACACTGACGAATAAGTGTGTTGGATTGGAAAATCAGTTAATACAACAAAGAGCTCTTAACTACGAACTCAAGAAATCTCGCAAAGAAGACTATTTAACAAAGATTGTTAAACAAGAACTAGACCAAAGTAAGTAGGAAATCAAAAATCTTCAGGCAGCAATTCAAATTGTACAAAACGAAAATAGAAAGTTAGAGGATGAAATAAAAAAGGATGATAAAAAAGAATATCAGAAAGTGTCTACACTGTTATCCACCTTTAGGAAATCCATCCATAGATGGGGAAAATGTATTCTTCCTAAGTTTGTCTTAAATTAATGATTAATGAGTTTTTTGTTAGAAAATGTCAGATAGCTATTATTTGAGATTTCAAAAATGACAATGTTGATCTTTTTCAAAAAGTTCGGCTAGTTAAGGAGGCCTTGGCCGAATTTTAAAATTTTCGGTTAAAGAATATTTAAAGATACGTAATATTATTAGGCCTACTAAAATACAAATACAGTATCATAGCGCACGTTTTAGAGCAAAACTGTACATTAACTAATAGTGATGTGTCAGTACCTCAAAAGAATTCTTGATACTACCGGTTCATAGCATATCTATCAGTACCGAGAACTAATAGTAAAAATATCGGTTCCTGTACTTAGGTCTCCACAGGGTAGCCTATTGGCTATTTGACAATAAAGAGACAAAGCCGTATCAGATTTATAGGTTAAATCATAACCTGAATCAGATTATATAGTTTTATAACTTACTCAAAATAAACTAAACTATATTAAACGTATACATTATTTTCCGGATAACATTTTTTTGTATTTAGATTTGTGGGATTAGATATTTGGGATTTAATTTGGAATTCAACATCACTAGTTGCCAACAAATCTGCAAACAGTTTTGATGACTGATTTAATTCAAAATACAATATTGTTTTCAAATAAAAACTCTGTTCATTTGAAACTAACCTGAATTGTAGAAATCTCATCATCCGATGGATCAGGCTCAGCACAGGATGGATCAGGCTCAGCGTTGGATGGATCACGCTCAGCATTGGATGGATTAGGCTCAGCATGAGATGGATTAGTCTCAGCATTGGATGGATTAGGCTCAGCATGAGATGGATTAGGCTCAGCATTGGATGGATTACGCTCAGCATTGGATGGATCAGGCTCTGCATCGGATGGATTAGGCTCAGTGTCAGATGGATTAGGCTCAGCATCGGATGGATTACGCTCAGCGTCGGATAGATTAGACTCAGTGTCAGATGGATTAGGCTCAGCATCCCAAGACTCTACTAAGTCTTGAACATTATCTTCAGGTTCCTCTGTGTCCGGTTCAGATTCTACTATTACATCACTATTAGAGTTTGCACTGCCTTTCAGAAGATCATCCACCAAGATGTTGAAATCCTGAAAATCATTAGATTTATGTAATTTTCAAGAGATGAAATACCTAGTTAGAACTAGTTAAATAGTTGGTGAAACTTGGCGTTGCCCGGGTCAAAATGCAATGCACAATAACTCATTTGAAATCAACAATATAGCATCTAAGTGTCTAGGTATCACTCATTTCATATTAGCATAATTAATCTGAATTCTCCTTTTCATACTTCACCCACCTGCATTTTAATCCTCATAGTGTACTTGCATTGCAATATTTACATTCTGTATTCATTTTCTCTTGCATGATAACAAAATTCTTGAAACTCTAACCATTCGTTTGTAAAGCGTTATTGGCCTACTATGGCCATTCCTCTGCGTATTTTTTTATTGCTCTTTAGTTTAAACCTTTTTGGCTTATTGTAACTCTTTCACATAATTCAAAAGCCGTTGTGATTATTTTTCTGATCATTCAATTCCTATAATATTTTGAGAACAATAATCTCTTGCCCTTAGGCTTTTTAAATCTCTTGATAACGCTTTTTGGATATAGGTACTCTGAAATATTTTAAGAAAAATCTAGAATTAGAACATCTTAGAAGAATCTGGGATACCCTATCTAAAACATTCTAGACCAACCATTATTACACATTTCCATAGTTGGAGAGAGTGATCCAAATAAATCTGGTGCTATATCTATATAATTAATACGCTACATGAAACTTTGTTGGTTAAACTCCTCCACCATTTCTTAACCAATTTGATCTATTGACGTCTCATTGGAAAGAGCGTGTCGCGTAGATTTGCAAACTGACCTTACATTTTTGAAAAAGTCCCTTGGGCTCTGCCCCAGTGGCTTTGAAAGTTCCCATGTTATCCTTATGAAGAACATAACTGTTTACATTTTGATCAGCTGTATTTTAATTGCTGTTATTTATTTTTAAATTCAATGAATCACATTTAGTACATTTATTTACTACAAGAGGGCGTCCAGTGGCCGAAAACTCAACCAAAATATTTAATGCACAGACCTTTCTATTTTCACACCACCCTATAAATAAAACATGTGACTCGAATATCTTCCATTTTGTTTAGACATTCTGTTTATATGTACTTTGATGTTATTTATCACAAGCATAGCAACCGGTGGGACACACGGAAGATTTCTCAGGTGTCGTTTGACGTCATTAACTGCTGCGCCTGAGGAGAGGAAACGGACAATTTTATAATTTTTCTATTATTAAATTAAACTGTCATAACCTAACCAAACCAACCAAACGTGCTGATAATGGAAAAATCGAATGAAGGTTTACTAATCTAAAAAATAGTTTTGTTCATAAAATAAAATTATAAATGCCTAAAATTCAATTTTATAATTTTTTAATTATAAAATTAAACTGTCATAACCTAACCAAACCAACCAAACTTGCTGATATGAAAAAATTGTTGACAAAAAGTTAATGCTACCAGCGGGATTCGAACCCGGTACATTCAAATTATCAGCCCGACTTGCTATCCACTACACCACCGAGGCCGTTGGCTCAAAACCGTATCGTTGTGGTAATGGTGTTCCCTCAAAGTGACGGCAGCAGTTAGTGACGTCAAACGGCACCTGAGAAATCTTCCGTGTGCCGTTTCGGCATGGCAACCCATTTAAGCCCCATGTTATTTTTTTTCAAATTTAAAATCTATTTTATGTGCTTATTTTTGCGCCTATTTTAATTTATAAAGGGATTCTGCACATCTACAGGAAAATATCTTTCTAACAGTACAGTATACGAAGATTTTCCCTTCGATGCACACAGGCTAAAAAAAGGTTTAAAAGAAACATTCTTGCCTATTAATGTATAGATTTGAGTTTGTGTCAATATAACCCCCAAGACGGATCGTGTTAGTATGGTTGTATCTTAAATTTGTGTATTTATTTTGTGTCGCTATGACGGATTGAGTTAGCATGATTGTAACTTAAATTTGTGCATTTATCGTTGTTTTGTGTAGCTATAATTTGTTTATTTGTTGTTTTTTCTTTTAAATGCCTCCAACGCGACGACAACGAAACATAGACAGGAGGCGTAATCGTGATATAACGACCGCAGCAACAGAACAGTGGTGCGTAATAGGCTTAACTCGTCTCAGTCAGCACCTGACCCTGGACAATCTAAGCTATTATATTACAAATGCGCCCTAACACTACCCCAAAACGACTTTTCGTTCTCACCTGGCCCTCTATCAATGACCTGTGTTGCCTGTACAGTGAGGCATTTTGAGAAGGAGAAAACCGGCCGGAATGCTTTAGGTTTATCAATAACGAAGATAAACATGGACAACCTTATATAGCTATAAGTCAGGAAATGTCTGTAGAAAACAAAAGCAATACCAGGTTACGAAATATGATACAATATTTACAGGAAATGTTGATTACTATTATATATATATCATGAATATCTCCATGAGTTAGACACCGGTAATCTTTGAGATGACTGTTTTAAACTCATTGTAAATATGACTGTTTATTCGTTTTGAAATAACTCCTGTCATACTTTGCAATTGCTCGAATTCGAGCAACATGTACACTAGTTGTAGAATGATTTAGAACATTTAGGTAAACACATACACAAATATTCAGAGAAATCTTGAACAATACACAACCTTTCTTTAATGATGTGATGTTTGGTTGTGATAATGATGTTTTTTTGTTTTTTGTTTTTAACCACTTTTTGACATTCAGAACATTTATAATGATTTTCTCTTGAATGGGCCATTGTATTGTATTGTATGGACCACTGTATACCTTTTAAGGTTTTTTCCTGATTAAAACCCTTTCATAATCTTTACATATAAATAGAAGACTCTCAGTCTTACGAAAATGGATGGTTTTATTATAAGTTTTTGAAAGAAATACTCTTATTGCAAATCTCTTTTAGCAAGTTTGCCAAATAGGGTATATTAGCGGTTTCCATAGGGAATAAGCTAATTACCGTAGGTCTCATGGTAAGACCTAGATCCGGTCCCGATTAACTGTTGTAGTTAGCTTGTTTATGGGTATACTTTAATCATATTTGTTAATTTTGTTTATTTCATACTAAGCAATCAACATTTCAATAAAACAACACATCTGAATACCTTCCCTGTAGCATCAAACCTAAGTATTCATTAAAATTAATGTTACTTAATCTATATTTATAAAAGAGGAAGTTTGTATATATATATATATATATTTGAACGTTATGGACTCCTGAAAGATTGTAATGAAACTTTCAGGCATTATTATGCATTATTCAAGGATGGTTTGTGTGAAGTTTGGTGCAGATGCGTCAAAAGGGCTCCGCCCCAGTGGCTCTTGGAGTTTCCCATGTTAACCTTATGAGTACCTACTCATATTTATATAGAATCTTAACAGCTGTTTCAACTAAACAATTTGATTCTGTGATGATCAATAGCATTATAGTTTATCTATATAAATAAAATTAGAGTTTTGTCTGTACATTGCTCAGAATTATATACTTTTAGGTTATTTTTACGTTTTATACATTAAAGAAGCAGAAACAAGTCTTATCTCAATTTCTGTCTGTCTGTCTGTCCCTTTGTCTGTAACACTCAAGATGGCATTTTACGCAATCTTCTCCGTGAAAACCAGAGTACATATCAAGATCCAAGCCATTTTAATGTATTCACTGGATTGGCGAGAGTGTCTTTAGTGATTTAAATATAGCCTCACTACTTTGTAAATAAAATTATGGACGTTCAAAAATGCAGTTTTGTGCGATTTTTGTCACATTTTCGTTCAATTTTTATCACAGAATCGTCTATGAAATAACGAACAGCTGTTCGGATCAAGATTATTTTTTCTAGCTGTCAATGACATGTTTACAAATGCTGTTTACAAATACCGCAACTATTTCGAATCACGTTTTGAAAGCATCCCAACCAAGTGAGATTAAAAACGTTTTTCTTACATAACGGATTTAATTAATCGCAAGTGCAATAATATAGTCTAATAGTGTAACCGTAAATAAAATTAAATAACTAGACATCGTCCAAATCGGAACCAGAAATTCTTTGAGTATAAAATGTTTCTTGAGTTTTGACAACCAGAAAGAAGAAGACCTTGAATCAGTGTTGTATAGGGCTGTGACACTGAAATGATCGTCGCCAATAGCTTACAAAAAAGGTTTCCACTCATTGACGGCGCTTCAATGGCGATTGTGTAAAGTGTTAAGTAAAAAATCACAACTGCAGTGGGTGATTGTAACAGAGGTTTAACAGAGGAAGTGCTAAACTCGCTTTTCCAATGTGTCACTTTCTGTTTCTACTCACCGTGTGATGCAATCGCTGGACCATACAGCCAATAGGCCCATAGCTCATATCTTGGGTACGTAAGCCTACATATTTATTCACAACAACCTTTTTGACGACGATCCTTGATACCGGTACTTTTCCATAGAATACATGGCCTACCTACTTAAAAAATAAAATTACAAATGACCAAAACTCCAACATTGTGTGATTTTCGTCACATTTCCTTCTAATGTAAATAGATATACTAATCATTGTTTAGAGAATGCGTAATCTCTTAAATAACAAAAAGTTGTTTGGGTAAGGTTGCTTTTTTTTCAAACTGACACCGATAAGTTTACACTATAACTTTTTACGAGAAAATCCAAAAGCAAGAGATCAATAACCTCGAAGCTAGATATTAATGTATTTAATTGGTCCGATTTACTGTACTGTAATTCTTAGGTAGGTTCTTACGTAGGTACTGGTTCTTTTCCTTAGAACCGGTAGTTTACAAATTAGATATCGTTGGTGTTGCACCTTATTTATTAGAGCCGTCCGTATTCAATTTAAGTGATGTCTTAACTCTGTATAAGTTTTGCTTTTTCTGCCTGGATTCCAAATCTTAGCTTACACGGTATGCTAAGAAAATGATAACCTATTTGAGTAAAACATTTGTTGGGCAAACCATCATGAATTGTTTACGCCTTTATATTGAGCATATTACTTGAGCAAATTTATGACAGCAGTTGCTA